AGTCATAAATAAGGGAAAGATGAGGGGGGAAAAGGAAGGTTCCAGGAAATGGGGGGATGGCGTGGAGATTTGTCAAAGGTGGAGGATTTGGTATTTATTTATTATTTATTTATTTTTTTAATTTATCTGTCTCTGTTTGTTCAACTGATGATGTGAATGACGGCAAATAAAACGCGTTTTTGTAGGGGAGTGTGACACATCCACTCTTTGCTTTTTTATTTTCTTCTTAATTTCAGATATTTTTGTTTATTCCTACACTTTATATAAATATTAAAATAAATAACTATTTTAGTGTTTTTCCTAAGAATTTAGCATTGCACTTATGGGATTGGACTACCAACTTTTTTACCCTGTCGTTATTAGTGTCTTAGTGATTAAATTATGCTCGAATTAATTGTGAGTTCTATTTGTTAACCTTTTTTTTTGTTCTAACATCTAATTTATTTTCGTGGTCTCTATGAATTCCAACCGAGACAAGATAAGTGTAACTCAAAACTTTACTCTTGAACACGTATCATAGAGGATATGCTTAGGAGTCCTAACTAAATTTGAGAGTCCATGTTGTATGATTGGCTCTTGACAACATGAACTCTTCATCATAGACTTCTGAGCATGCACTACTCAAATGCCCTCGATCAAGTATGCTCAGACACACCTCTAAATATTTGGTTAATTTTTTTCCAATTTAGTCAATTTGTAAAATGTCTTCAATCATATAATATTTCTTGTAGTTGTTCAATTGATGAAAGATTTTGTTTAAGTACAACATGTGGGGTGAGAGATAGAACTCACAACATCTTGATTGAAGATATATGTCAATTACCACTAAACTATGCTTGCTTTGACAATTGATGAAAGATTTTCATCCTAAATAAACAATGTTTAACTTCTCTTGTATATAGTTAACCTGCGCATAGCTTAACTAATTAAATCACATTTTTCAACTAAAAAGTCATGTATTGAAATCTTCATCCCCACATGTGTATTAAAAAAAAAAAAAAAAACCTTCTCTTTGCATAACCTAATTTTTTCTATGATTCACTTTGTATCTCTAGTGCTCTTAATCTTTCCATCCAGTGGTGGATTAGAATTTCATGTCAGAGGGGCACAAATCCTTATAACATAATTCAAAAAATATTGATTTTGACCCTATTTTGTAATGTTGTATCAATTTTTACCCTAAACTTTCAAATTTCACCTTAAACTTTAAAAAGTTTTTAAAAAATCCATGGGACCCGATCGGGACAAAAATCCTCGATCCCCACGAGTATCTGATCTGATCGGATCGAGAAATCCTCAATTTGATAGCGTATAGGGTCAAACCGTGGATTTTAATATGGTCCGGTGGGGATGGGGAAGGATATCCCCTGCCCCATATAAATACTTATTATATTATGTTATACTCATTCAAGTTTACCTTTTAAAAAAATAAAATTTTGTAAAGAAAAATAAGTATATTATTAAAAAAAAAAAAGGAAGGCCCCATGAGGACGAGTCTCCACAAGGAACCCATCCCGCCCCGACGCCAATGTGTAAGTGGGACGGAGGAGTAGAGGTGAGCAAAATCCATGCGGGATACGAGACATTTTCTTTTCCCAAACTTCACAATATATGATATTTAGTTAAATTTGAGGGCATGGGTCCCAACCTGGATCTTTATTCTCTCCCCCCAAATATAGAAATCGTTTGACACAGGTAATWGTTTAATGTTTTTATTTCGGACTTCGGTTTCAAATCTTTCTCAAATCTCTATGATTGTGGGTCCCGAAATAGGAAAACCCGGTAGGAAGTATTGGTTGGTAAGGTCCAGGGAACCGWGTCAGACCATCTATTTTCAAGAGACAAATTCCACCAGTGACAAAAGTTCGGTGTGAAATTTGAATGATCTCGATTGTTTCAAATTCCAATTTGTAATTCGTTTCTCCCTTTTCTTCGGTCGGCCCGATGGGATGCCCATTTCATTTCGATAAAAACATAAAAGAAAAAAAGCAGACCAAAGAAACGCTTTTAAGTTTGAGTAAATTTTGGTACAAGGTAGTAATTATAAATTAACCGTGGGGAAACCTGATAAATACCACAAGTTAATTTCTAAATTGAGATCAAATTAATCAAACATGGCAACTAACAATGGTTTTTGATGGGTTGTTATTATCTCCAAATCAGATAACTGTCATCATAGTGTTTTTCTTATCCCTCGAAAACATATAAAAATTCTTCTTCTAAAATATTTAAAGAAATTGGCAGGTCAATTTGTGATCTATCTAGATTTAGAAGACCAAATCTTACCAATTGACTTTCAATCGTAGATTCAGATACCCTTATGCTTCTTTCACTTTGATTATCTTGAGTCGACATAGAAAATAGATGCACAAGTTTTTGAAATTATACCCAGTAAGTCATTTGTCGGATTTTAAATTGATTACAATTTATATTAAAATAAATTTATGTGCATAAAGTGTATGGAAATTGAAAGACCAAACGGTTCCCTTATATTTTTCCGTAGTAGTCTAACCTATTAAATGGTCTAAAAAGTATATGTTGACTTCTTCAACACCGTATCAATTTCTTATCGCATTTAATACTTTATTAACTGAGGGACCATACTATATGACTTCACATTTAAAATTTTTGTTGTAATCAAATTATACATATGGACAAATTCTGGATCACAGAAAATCTGTTGCCTTTGTTCTCATTCCTATACTTCATGTACTTTTCTACTTTAATTTTTAATGAAATTTTAACCTAATTCAAATAATTTAATCACAATACATTTCTAATAGTATAAGAATTGAATTGCCACTCATCCCATCATCAAAACATGCACGAAGGACTAATGGGATATTTTAACCAATCAAATAATATATGTGACAAAATTATTCAATAAAAATAAATAAAGTATGGTCTAAAATTTTAGAGACCATATNGTCGATATATACAAAATTAATATCTTTCGATGTGAACTAGATCAGTCATGTCAAACCAACTTAATTTAATGAGAACTCTCGCTGCCGAAATAATTTTTAAAAAAAAAAAAAAAAGCTACTCATAGCATTCTAGAAGGCACAGCCGAGAATTAGGACTTATAATAAAAATGGAAATTTATTATATATATTTATATATATGAAGATTTTTAAAAGAAATTTTGTTTTGCTTGGGAGCTAAGTCTTTGATATGGATGGGGAAGAAGAGTTTTCAATTGACTGACTGTGAAGTCTGTGACAATGACTTGCTTACGTGGCATTTGGCTATTGGTCACGACTGACTCGTTTTTCAAATACGCGTCGACTGTGGCTTAACGAAAACTTTGGGCTGGACCGAGGTACACTATTATGGGCTGCGTTTTCTACATGGGCTAGTAAAAAAATAGCTAAAATTTCACATGGATCCCTCTATATTATTTTATTTTCAGAACCGTCCCTTGTAATTATATCTTATTTAGATTTTCACATTTCCCTCCTTAACTTACAATTGAATCAAATAAGTTAGGACTGTTTGGTAATCTTTGGTAACTGTTCATGTTTTTCATTTTCTATTTCTAAAATTAGTTTAAGAAATTTTAGAAACGAACAAAAAAAATTATTTCTTGTACCCATTTTTATTTTTATTTCTTTTACAAAATTTAAGTAAAAGCATATTTTTTAACTCAAAATGCATAATAAATATTTACAGATTGAAAAATTTTTTAATTTTGAATTTAAAAAAAAATTATATTTTTTAATTAAAGATTTTAGAAAATTAAAAATAAGAAATTATTACTAGCCCTATTTCTTTTTCTTTTTCAAAAAAGGAAAATTGTAAGAAATAAAAAATAAAATAAAGAACACAAATGAGAAAGAGAAGCGTTCCAAACTGTCCCTTAAATTCCTATCTTTAAAATCTCATTTATA